GACAACCAGAATATTGGGATTTTCTTTTACTTTCACTGATAACAGTCACCAGGAAAATTGGGGCAAATATCCATAACGGGAGCACAGACAGAAATAAAAACCTGATGGGTGTTCTCATCCCTCTCCACTACATCCAAAACTAAAAATGAAGTTTTGACTTCAGGTAAACTTTGGGTTGGGGTAACATTGGTAGCCAAGGTCACACAATGGCAGCACCCATGCAAAGTCTTAAAGTGAAAGTAAACTCAGGATTTAAGTCTTAAAAAATGCACTCAGGTACCTTAACTAGTAACAAAAATGTATCTTATTTGTGTATCACTCGGCTGTAGATCCTCAAATCATCTCTGAATTAGTGCTGACACTGTCCTTCCTTCTGGAGGGGGGCTACTTTTGTTCCCCATGGTCCCTGTGTGTGTTGTAAAGTAGTCACCGCTCCAAGATCACTCCCAGGGTGGACTACAATCTATTGTTTAGTTTAATCATTTGTATTGAGATTGTAGTTCATCACAGGAGTGAGCTTGGAGCGGTGACTACTTTACAACACACCCAGGGACCATGGGGAACAAAAGTAGCCACCCTCCAGAAGGAAGGACAGTGTCAGCACTAATTCAGAGATGATTTGAGGATCTACAGCCGAGTGATACACAAATAAGATACATTTCTGTTAATAGGTAAGGGACTTGAATGCATTTTTAAGATTTAACTCCTGAGTCACTTTAAGTTGGGTTTAACCTTGCAAGGCAAGCTCAACAATGGCAGCTCCCATGTAAAAGCTTAAAGCTTAAAGGCTAACTCAATGTTTTAGACAGTGTTTCATGTTACACCCATAATTAGGGTGTAACATAAAGCATGGTTGCATACACCATCCCCCTAAATCCAAACCTCCACCTTTTTCTGAATCTCAGGGTTCTTCTTGTTGTAGATTGTTCATCATCCATTCACTGGGATCACTCAGTGGAAACACTACCAGTCTCATTTTCCGCCGCAGCAGAGGGACTGTGCAGAGACACGTCGGTGATGCCTCCTCCATCACCTCCTTGTAGTCTAGCTGTCCTCCATGCTAGGTTAACACTTGAGGCTGGAGGAGAGTGATAGTCTGTTCATTGCACCCATGACACACCGATCACAGATGCAATGCTCTGCAGGCTTTAATGGAAAAAGTAGTAAATGCACAATGATGATGAGATCAATGTTTCTGCATTCACTCCTTTTTTTGCAGAAGGTGGACAGTCTCTATAAGGAAAAAAAGTCACAATCTACCCTCCAAGTGAGGAACAGGGAAGTACTGTTTCTGGTTTATCTGCACCTGACAGAAACCAATTTTAGGTATATAAATTGACCAGGATGTGTGTGAACTTCCATTATTGAAAACAAGAAGTTTGTTGATGATTTCCTCTTTTTAGTCACCCTATGTCTGTATCCCACATATAACTTTCATATCTGCAGTGTCATTGTTCATTATCACTGGCCCTCTAACTCACATTATCAGTTCATGATTAGGCTGTTGTGTTAGTGCCCTGGAGCCATCTATAGCTAAACACATACATTATAAAATTAGAACAACCAGAATCACTCGTGTTGTCACCTCTCTCCTGGCAAAATAAGGGCCTGAGGGTTGAGTAGCGGACAAAATAGGGAGAGGATCTAATAGCGGCATGCACAGCACACCGACTGTATGTAGTTGTTGGCTGAAGCACACTGACATCTGATCTGGATGATGACGTCACCCTTTCCTAGTTACCCAAG